AAAATTTAAGATTTTCAAAAAGTTCTACCTTTTTCAAAGTAATTAACTGAGAGTATAATAGGTAAAAATAATTTGTCCTTTCTTGATTTGTCAAAATGAATAAGTAATTAGGGATAACTATAAAAGAAAAAGTGGACAAGTAATTAGGGACAGAGGGAATAGTGTATTTTTTTAAAATTTGACATGAATATGATAACATTTTTGAAGAGTCTGAACAATTTATAAAATTTTAAAGGAAAAGAGGATTAATGAAACATGATGTTTCTTCTTTGGAAAGGGACAAGTTTATATTGTGTCCTATTTTTATTGATCAATAAATACACCACTTTTTTTAATGGATTTGGTGTAATTCAATTTAAACCGGGCGGAGCCGACCTATTGTTGGGGTTCATCCAAATCTCCTTCCATAGAAAAATATTATTATTTATATATGATTAAAATTAATTTTTATGTACATATAGTAAATGTCGAATTTTCTTCGATTAGTTTGTGTTTACTTCTTTAGATTTTGAACCCTTTTATTAAAAATTCTGAATCCGTCACTGATTTTCATCATTAGTAAAATTTGAAGACACTTTCGAATAGTCACAAAAAGTAAAAAAGAAAGTGCGATGAATATTCATGAAAGGACAACAAGTAGCTGTAAGGCAGAAGAAAGAAAAGAATGGAACCTTCTTTTGTTACTCAACCAAAGGAGACAATATGGGTCACAAAAAAATAATATTTTTGAAGGTTTATTATGTAGGGAAAAAGAAAAAAATAATAATGATTCAACTCTTTAAAGTGTGATGATGGAGTGTGCTGAGTTTTGTAGTAAAAAAGGAGTAAAATGATTTGGGTAACAAGAAAATTATGAAAGTAAAAGAGGAAAAAAAAATAGATTCCTGGATTTGGCCTTTAATGTCCAAAACAAGTATGTGGAGTGTCAAGTGTGGAAGCTTTTCTTTGATTCACTTCCCTTTTGCATGTAATGGACTCTTTCAAATGTTTCCTCTCCCCATTCTCCTATATTAAATCCTAACTATAACTCTTTAGGGCTTGTTTAGTCGGAAATAAGTTATCTTGAGATTAATTATTTATTTCATCTTTTAATGTGGAATACAGATAATATAACAATTTCGAAATACCTCCTCCGTTTATCTTTACTTATCAACTATACTATTTTGAATGTCCAACAATACTTGTCTAATTTATAAAATCAATGATTAATTTACCTTGTTGTGTCTATTTTACCCTTGCTGTTAAATACTTGTCATTTTTTCAATGTTTATATGACTTATATTTAATAAAGGTGATTTGGTAAAGTTACTCCTATCATTTACTGCTTCTTAATCCTTGTATCAAGTCAATGGTGAACAACTATTGTTGGACAGAGAGTAAGTTATTCTGTGATTTTGTTGCAATCAAACATGAGATAAACTCATCCTAAATTAATTTCGAAATTATCACTCATACCAAATGGTTCCTTAGTAAAATATTTTACCAACACGATTCACTACAAACATTTTCAGTTTAGTGGTATCGAGAGGTTTCTAACATAACAGATACAAGTTTAATTCCAGATGTATACTTTCTTTTTCATTTGTCCTAACATGGAAGGATCTAGGATATCAAATACGAGTTTTTGGGAATCAATAATTTTGTGTAGATCTTAAATTTATATTGAGAAATTTATTAAATATATAAAAATTATTTATTGAAAATTTTGTAACAAAATTAGCTCTCGTAGTTCAAGAGTAGAAATGAGACATGTTTTAAGCTTTATTGCCTTCCTCTATAAGAGTTTAAGTTCCATTGACACTTACAAATTACAATAAAGGATTCTTAAAAAAAAAAATTGACATCATTGAGAATCCAAAAATTTTAAATCTTGAATTTGTGGATGTTTATTGTTAGGGTGATTTCTTATTGTCACCATTTTTCTTCCCTTATTTTTGGGATGTTAGATATTAAAATAATGATATGAAAATATCGAAGTAGCTTTCATATCCTGCAAACTAGATTTCTTGTTTTTTGTCCCTTGACGGAAATTCGTGACTTGCCTCACTTTAGGGGTTTACTTAGTGAAATACTTAGTCAAAATATTAAAAGATTAACAATATCAATTATGCATAATAATCATAAGAGTCAAAGAAATATAATTTTTAAAAAAGGAATAATTGAAAATAATGAAAAATTGTCTTGCCACTGGTTTCAGCAACATATTCATTTTCTATTCTACCTTAGTTGAAGACAATTTTCTGTTCATCTAGCATGCTTAATTTATTTTAAGTACCTGTTGAAATTACACATATATTCCAATTGGATTTGGATCTATTATTTCTAAAATAAGTTCTTACTTATAATCATTGTCAACTAACGTACTCTCTCAACCCTCAACCCCCCCACCCCCACCC